TTTCGGAGGTTCGTCCTCCTCATCAGTGACCCCCGCCCCACATTCAGTCCTGCATTGAAGCAAGGAGGGAAGCGTATGTGGTGATGGCACAGTGTACTATGACCCTGTACCATCACCACCTCTCAGTCGATAGATTTTTGCTGTTAGATCAAAACTAATTCAGAAGATCGACTGTTTTTGAAACCCCCCAAAACATTCAATATAATTCCAAAAAAGAATGATTTAAGCTCAAAAAGGGGTTGGTATACCCTTTTTACCAATACCAATACCAACCCCTTTTTGAGCTTAAATCATTCTTTTTTGGAATTATATTGAATTTTTTTTGGGAGGGGGGTTTCAAAAACAGTCGATCTTTTGAATTAGTTTTGATCTAACAGCAAAAATCTATCGACTGAGAGGTGGTGATGGTATACCAACCCCTTTTTGAGCTTAAATCATTCTTTTTTGGTATCATAAATAGTTGAGCGCCCTTCGATATCCATAATTAGTGATAGCCTATGGCGAAGACCTGGGACCGGTATAGTAGAGGTAGCCGGAATTTCAGGGAGAACGGTCTGACTACTATTGAACGGTTTCATTGGAAAAAAGTCATGAGGTTTAAAAGTTGGCTAAATCCAATCACTAGTTCGAACTTGGGACCATCTTGATATGCAAAGTGGAACACAATAACTAATCAAATGCAAAAGTAACTATAGTCAATGTATGAAAAGTAAAAAAGGATGTAAGTGATTAATTACATAAGACAATAAATATTTTCCTGAAAATGGAGAGGAAAAAAACTTTTACGTCTTAGGAGACCTGGGTGGTCGATAGAATCAAGAATCACCCATGCAATTCAACAGTATTTAAGATAAAAAGGACATCACGAGTATTGACAGTCACGGTAACTGATAACGGGAAATCCACTGATAATGTAATCGGGACTTCTTGTTGTTATTGAATCTTGATCGGAATTTGAACAGATGTTTGATAACGCGACGAAATCGCTTCAGACAAACGAGTCACTTATTCACCCGTTCCAAGAGGTTGTAGTATTCCAAATTATTTATTACATAAGAATTCTTTATTTTTCGTTTTTACAGCAGTGCTGTGATATCGCAATCATATTTCTAAGAATGCTGATTACTATGCAAAATTCAAAACAGGCGAGTAAGCGTGAAAAGCGGACAATTTATGCCCAAGGCTCCAAATTTTGCATATCATCTAGCTTTCTTGGATGTTCCGGAACGACGCATTTCTCATGCAACTGAATTGAGCTAAACAAATGTCATTTATGTGCAAAGAAGATAATAGATTTTGTACAGGGACTTTAAGGTACCATAAGAAATGACAGAAGGCTTGACTCGAGTCATACGAAGGGAAAGTGCCACAATGAGGTCGAACGACAGTGACGATCGACTCAAACCATCGGCTACGAAGAGGAACGTATAGCGTTGCCGTTGAAGGTGACTGGCAGCACATACCAGATCACTAGCTAGTTCGATAGCGTACTCCAGACTCACCATGCTTTCCAGATAGGTGTTCAGCAAATTGGTGCCAAATTTGTCTAAAAAGACAGAAATACTGACTGATTACATAGGTGGCCCTCGCTGATCATTGCACAAACCAAATATAATTTCAATCTGCGATGTCACAAAAGGAATGCTTTGAGAAATTTTTGTGGTAAACTAATATCAGTTTGTAAGTGATCGTCTAATTTACAATGTCAGCGCTTCGATTTATCTTGACACTTAGTGACCTTTCATTTACTGCCTGATCTTTTTCTGTGGCCGGGTACGATGTGAGATACACCAACGAAAATGCTGATGTACAAGCAGAACTTGAAACCTCGCATTTGTGTTGGGCTCAATCCACTAATCTGTCCAGGGCAGCGCGCGTAGGCACTATACCGAGCCCTTCACTCAATCTTTTCTCAGCTGACTATCGTATTGGTTGCTACCAGTCATCAGTCAATCAACAGGATTGATCTGCAACTCGCAATTTGGCAATGAATGCACTTTTTATAGCCGAATTCACAGTCTCAACTTTTTATCCATTGTTCACGTTTTGGTTTGAGTCCGCTACACATACATCCGATTCTAGATTTGACTAGTGTCTTAGAATTCTTGTACTTGTATATGACACTTTTGTTTGACTGCTGGAATGACATTGTCTCAGTCTCTATAAAATCTGCATTACAGAAAAACTTGGCTCCAAAAATATCAACTGTACGTGGAAGCAAAGCTAAACGCCATCATTGATAACATTTTCTAAGACTGCGATGACTAGTCTTGCAAGTTTTTGACTAAACCGATATTACAAAAAGCAATTGCTTGGTGACTTGGATGCGAAGTGGACCTGACGGACGACAAGAACATCATTCGCCACGAAATCTGTTCTCTGCATTTTTTTCATAATTGATATGGAAGAGCGGCGACATAATTAGTTGTGTTGGAAAAATTGCATGACAGTAAAACAGTTTTTTGCTCAAATGGAAGGAAGAATCACAGGGATAGAACGAAAAAAACAGAGCAGATGTTTATCATACTTTCGCCAAATTGTGATGAACGATTCGTTCGACGAGAATGGGGCACGTGGGAGTTTCTCGATGTTGTATTTAGATATTTTAAGGGTGGGGGATTGAAACGAGGAGAAGCTTTATGTGGATATATTGGAGCTACCAATTGAATAATTCTGACTCATGCATTTAGGCAGTGAATTAACCTTGCATCAGTGGTACAACAACATTAAATCTGAAAACACTTAATGATCGAGTGAGTTGCTTCTTCCCGTGTGGGGCAAAAATAACGGCCGCTGTAAATTTCAAACCAGCATATCTCAGCTCTAGGTGAATATTAGTATATGTGATAGAGATTATTAGAATCAAAAAGTCTTTACGTACCGAATAAATGCTTTTCTAACTCATCATGATCAATTGCTGATCAGATGCAGCTGAGCGAACGTTTTACGGACTTTTCATCATGGATTTTTTTATTCATATTTCGAAAGTAATAACAATTGAAAAGAGGCTATCTCATCCATTAATGCTCATTGACATCCATTAACGCGTTTTTGATGCTTATGGCAGCTGGGATTTCGTTTGGGACTTCAAAAAACAAGTTTTTCCATCTCTCTTGAGAAGTCTAATTCCAAAAAATTTTAAAAAATAAAAAGAAACGGCTGTAAAAAAATCGTAATCAAACTCAAGCCGATAGAATAAAGTCTATCCTATAAGTCGATATCACGTTTTCAACAGTTCAAGCATTTCAGTCATCAAAACATTGTCAAAAGTTTGTTAAGTAGCAGCTTCGAGCCTTAAGTGTTAAGAACTCTCACTAATCTACAAATAAGACAGAAGACATCAATGCAAAATAGACATAAACATCTGTAGATGAGATTACTGCTGACCTGGTGCAGGTGACTTGTTTGATTCGTTTCCCGTACATTTTACCGTGGTCTCACGTGGATCACACGACTGATTGAAACTTTTCAACGGCATCACTTCATTTGATATCTTTCAATTTTCAACTCCTTCTTTCTTTTCCAAGACTTTCTCTTCCTTTTGCATTTTTTTCCTTCAGGCCTTTCTTTCCAGATTTAGTATTCACGTTGTGTGATATTTCACCTTTGAAACTTTCTCCTCTTTTCAGCTGTTATCACAAACTACAGCAGTCCTTAGTAAAAATCGAAGGCGGAAGTAGAATCTGTAGACTATCCATCGTTGTAACAACTACTATACACATTTTCCACAAATTCTCGTCATTTAATGTGATACATCGAAAAATTTTCCCTACACGTTAACATTCCTGTTGTGTAACGATTTAACGAGTTAGAAATGTGTATAGGACATTCCACTTCGCGACACGATGCTTACTCTGTTGTTTGGCTTTGTTTGTACGCCTGAACACTATGGTGACTGTGCAAACACTATAGGTACGGCAATGATATCTCAAAAATTTTTAAAAGCCTCTTTAGCCTTTTTAGGCGCTTCCCATTTGCTAAACGCTCTATAACTGATCAGAAAGCTCTAGGTGGTGATTATTCCATGAGAGATGGGCCATGCAATCGTCTTCAATTTAGCTTTGTTTGAGACGATTAAATGCATACCTGGCCTTTACAATGACTCGCCGTGGCTTACCAATCTATCAAGTTGGTGTTGCTCACTTTTCCACACAAATCTGAACCAATTTGTCCACTCAAGACGAATGGAGGGTTTAGTGAGCCATGAGCCCGAGATCAAAGCATCGACTTTGTGTGCGATGGAGAGCGCGTCTAACCCCCGCACCATGCGCGCTCACAGAAAAAAATGATTACCGACTAATAAATCAGTCTAAAATGGATGCGCCAGCGAGCCATTCTATGATTGATTGGTTGTCAATTCGATAGAAGAGTGATTTTGCCGCATGAAGTTCAAATGAATATCAGCAAATCATCGACAGTTGGCAAAAAGTATACTATACTCTGTAGTTTTTGCCAGTCAGCATTGTAGACGAGTTTTTGATGTCTGCAATTTCGACCTGTTTGAGAATGAGTGTGCGTATTACAGTATTCAGACAATACCCCCCCCCCCTCCCACCAATCGATTATCTTAAGATCTCGCTCAAAAATCGAGTATGATTTGCCAGGAATTTTCAGAGGTCTGGTATGGCGTCTTACCTGCTAGACGTATATGCCATACCACAGCTCTGAAAAGTTAGAAAAATCTCAGACAGTATTCGGACAATAATGTAAACTATCTGGGCGTTAAAAAGAAGAAGAAAAACGAGGTAGAAAGAGAAGAATAAAGAAAGTGATTGCAACTCGTATGACTTAACAAATTCGTGACCTCTCGCGTTCGCAATTGGAATTGATAGTAATGCGGCTTGGCCACTTCAGACAAAGTCATCGAGAAAGAGATTTTTCCGTTAGGCACTATGTGCTGAAATTAACCTTCCTCTAAATCTTTGGGGTTTTTACTGCTTTTTCTCAGTGTTATGATGTTTTATAAGTACTTAAAATAATTGAGTGGCGAGCATAAATACGACCTTAGACGAGTCGAACCCGCGTTTCATCCATACCAGGGACGTGTGCTAGCACTACACCACAAAGGTACATTCGCGCCGCCACTCATTCTTCAACATCCCTGTGATAGCTGTCAGACACCAACTTTCAACAGATTTAGTCGGGAAACGATTTCGCTTTATAAACCCAGTTGGGCTGAAAGCTTTCATGCCAAATAATGCTCGAAATCTTTGGTGTCTTTACTGCCGTTTCGTAGTATTATGATGCTTCATAAATACCTGGGAGACTCAGGACACTTTTTGCTCGCCACTCAGTTCTCTTAGGTATTTACGGAACATCATAACACTGCGAAACAGCAGTAAAAATACCAAAGATTTTGAGTAATACTTATCTTAGTGGCTGTCAGCTCATCTGGGTTTATAAGGCGGAATCGCAAACCCGACGAAATTTGTTAAAGGTTGGTGATTGACAGCTATCACAGAGATGTGAAGAATGAGTGGTGGCGCGAATGTATCTCTGTGGTGTATCTCTGCACGAATGTATCTCTGTGGTGTTTGACTCTCTTCTGAGGTCGTATTTTTGCTCATCACTCAATTTTCTTAGGTATTTATGTAACCTTTTCTTTTTTCTCTGTTCCTCTCTCTGTCCATGATGAGTTTGCAGTAGGCAAACTGTCAAGACAAATGTATTGAGATTAACAAGCAATAAGCACGAATCGCAATTTCGTCTTTTCAACATGCGCATTGAAAGCAATACACATGCGCACGATTCGCTCAGTGAATATGTGCCTACATGCAGCTAAGTGCACTTCTTCAACCAAAAGTGCCTAAATGAGCCTATCGAGAGCACTTTAATCCTCTCTTATGGTGGAATCCGGGTCGGTTCTTATGGAGGACATATAGCGCGTCCACAATATGGCTGGCACTATTCGTGCATAGATATGTTTTATAATGTGTTATGATTATACTCGTGGTGTGATATATACTTTGGTGTGTAAGGATGTTATTGTCAAGTATCAATATTGGCTTAATATGCCATAGAATCATTTTTGAGCCACAGACCACACGACATGCGTGGCTCAAAAATGATTTTATGGCATATTGAAATTTGAGCCGTGGTCTTAAAAGCACACTGAAACGAATGATATGATAATTGGCTTAGTAGATCGAAATTTTCATCCTGAAAATTCCTAGTACAGGAAATCTTCATGTCAAGAATCACCTCTGTCGCGGAGTAAATATAGTCGTCAGGCTGAATTTTTTGCAGTGATTCACAAATGCCGACGATCTTAGGATAGAAACTGATTTACTATGAAACACCTACTCCAGGGATTGAAGAAGGAAGAGAAACTTGCCAAAACAAAAAACTATTAACCAAATGAATATTGCACTTGAACTCGCACAGTTCATACGACGTGCTATTCAAATGTACATAAGTTTCTACTAAAACTTTTGACTTTTGTGCTTTGCGACATTTTTGTATCACAAATGTGAGCGCATCGAGCACAACAGAAGAGGCCTCCTAAAATAGATATGGTGACCGATTCTACATCGTGCCCCAAGCAAAGCAATCCCTGTCCCTTTGGGGTCGGCAAATTGACAGCCACAAGGCCAAGCAAATTTGCCCATGTGTCAACTACATTGACCTCATAGTTCGGCAGGTAACCATGTAAGCGAAATATATGCCTCATCACTTCCACGGTGCTATGAATGGAGCTCAAGTAATGGCACATCCTTAAGAAATTTTCCAGCGCCTAGTAGTGTATTGTTCTAGCTATCGGTTTGAAGAACTCGTATCAATTAATTCTTCTGAGAATCGAAAACATTTCGTCTTAGCATAAAATAATTATTATGTCGCTAGAAATTTATTACGGATATCAGTTCTAGCTCCATCCTTTTTGATCCAGGCAAGCAACAGCAGCAATTTACTCCTACAACATACTTCTCTGAACAAAATACTCAACAAAAGAAGATTGTTGTCGAGAGAATAAAAGTTCTAAGCGAAAGTCTATAATATATGCTAGTAAGAAAGTAGAGCGTGTCAATATTATCCAGATCGAAGTGACGTAGTGAGGTGCAGAACTAGTTCTGAGATCAAATTTACTTATGAGAATAACATTTCGAAAAAATCAGTGCTCAACAAATATCTACTTGTGGAACCTAGATCGAAAAAATTTTACTGTTTGAGACATTTATTCTATCATATCACTGGTCCCACATTCATACAAATGAGGACCTTCAAAAGGAACTACGAGGTGAATTGCGCCAATCACACACCGACATCAAACAAGGATTTTCGTCATTGCGTGACAACTCAATCGTCACAAAGTCAAGCAATACGTAAGGTGTCAAAATTGTAGTCGCATCAGTATTATTCGATAGGGTCGAAGGGAATTTGATGTACGTTTCATGAATGACGGACCAATTTCAGACATCGGTTGCTTCTTGTTTTTTTGTAGCTCCACCTCAGCCCTAAAGTGAGGAGACTTTAGATCATGTGTCCTAGAGTTGAAAAAATGGAAAAATATCTGGGAATTACCACATATCCACAATTTTGTACTAAATTTTTTGATTTGTTTACTTTTCTGCCATGAACGTTTGATGGATTTGTCAGAAGAAAGATGTGAATCAACTATTCGATTAATTTTGTCAACAAGTTTTTACAATTGAGATGCAATGACTGAATACTTTCCTTTTTATACCCTATGAGCAAGGAAGTGATAAGCACAATCAAAGACGAATTGTAGATAAACAAGTTACGAATTCATTAAACCCATTGGGTACTAGAGGGACACGCCGCGCGTGCCATCACCAACCATACGGCACCACAGACAGTTCGTGCTGGCGCGGGGAGCCGAGGCTGGCGGCATGTCTCTGTCGTATCTAATGGAATAACCTGTGCTTTGACGAAAATCGAAATTTTCTCTTCTTATCGACATACTTAAATTTTTCCGCTTAGCTGACATATATGGTTCATCTATTTGATGTTGGTGCTTCGCATGCGGTTCATATCGACTCACTAAGGAAAACGATGATTGTTCAGGCATCAGCAACTACCATAACGAACAACAGCGTCCAGTATACGAGTGATGGGTAGTATGAACGACAGAGACTATTTAAATTCACTTGCGAGATTCCCTAACAAGAACCATTTATATAATCCCATAATATGCGGATTGATTTCATCCGCAAATTTTCTATGAACTCAGAACAGACGAAGGGCCTGTGTAGATTTGTGGTTACAGATGTTCCACATTACACATTGGTTCGATTAGTGGTTCGAATTCTTGCTCCCTTTTATAAGAAGCTTCCAATCTTTCCAATGTCGGCAAAGTGTACCAGAATTTGTCTGGTGGAATCGCTGTTGTATTCTGATGCGTTGGTAAGAAACTATAATTCATTGTAGAGGCTAGAAATTCGTGTAGTGATATTTGCAATACTTGAATCATGCTGAATGCATGGCGCATCCTCAAGGATTTGATCGATGGTGGACGTTCAAAAAAATCTATCAGTGAAAAGGAATGGCGGTAATGACACTGAGTGCGATTGAGTTAGTGTAATCAATATAAGTCGCCTACTTGATGAGACTTTGATGTTAGGGCAAAGATCTGTAAGAACGTCTTTGGTATAAATGCAATGAAAGTTATTAACCCAAAGATTCCAGCTAGACTTAAACCTAGACCTCACGGCTCACTACTCTCTTGTAAGATTGTTCTAGAAGTGTATTCTGATAAACATATTTTTGTTTATTTTGTCTGATCCTTCGTCACAGTTTTTTTCACCGTGCGGATCTGAGTAGTTCCAGCATTCAATTGGTTTTTCGTTTTCGTTCAAACGACGTGAATACTGTTTGGGTTTGGGCAAGTCACCTTGCAATCTCGAGAATAGCTTTGCTGTGGCGCTCCATAGGTCGTTTTGTTGACTGCTGGAGAGAAGTGAGGGGTGGAGCAGGGCTCCACGCGCGTCGTGACCAACATCACAATCACTCGGCCGCGGCGCCACATATTCTATGCATACAATAAAGAAAGGGCTCTAAAGGATAAAATATCCATAAAACAAATGAAATGATGTGCCGATAATCATATTGAAAGATTTTTAATTATGCGGTAGAACACTATGGGACAACCAACGATGCTCAATTGCACCTCTAGAGTTAGGGAGTTTTAAAAGAGTAATGAAACAAACCTGCAGAGTAGGGCAAGAATTACGCACAAGTAGATGGCAACAAGCAACCGTTGACATACCATTACCTGCAATGGAAGCGAAGCATCCAATATATTTGTTAGAGTGATGAAGTAGAGAACAGTCAACAAGAACAAGAAGAAAAACTATAGAACGTAGGAATAGATGCAAGATGGTAAGTATTCACAAGTTCTTTGGATGTGCGCTACATTAGAGCGCTTAGTTTTTTCCTATCTGCCGAGGCGGGACTTCAGGAGTTTCTGAATGTCACGAAACTCGCAATCTCAAGAGTAGTTGAGAGGTACTCTATTGTAAGACTTGAACTGATAGAGAATACTTGAACAAATAATTGAAGCCCAGCATAGCATTAATGAGCTCATAGTACTTATGTGTGGAAAGTTCTATCGCACACATTCACGTCATTTCAAGAATAGAAACTTGTTGACAGATAACGTGTCGCAGCGTAGAAAGAGTGGTGTCAAAATGAGCGTCGGTGGTGCATTGGTTCAGCACGTTGTTCTCGATTGGGTGAAATGTGGGTTCGAATCCCACTTGACGCAAATGTTTCTGCACACCACTCTACATTATTGGGTAATTGGGTAAAGAATAGAAACTTTTTTCATAGGGTTTGGAGAAAACTGCTCCTCTGAAAGCCGGCTCATCTTTCGTCATCACAAGGTTAAGATGATTATTCCATGATTGTTGTTGATAGTTTGATTAAAGAAAAGGAAAAGAATTGAAATATCGAAGAACTACCACTAAGATCATAGCTAAGAGTGATGAAGAAGGTGACAGGAGATTCAAAACTTTTTGAAATGGTGAACGCTGCTTCTGAGGCAATTGCATCACGTTGATTGTCTTAGGATTGCAACGCCGGAGACAGAGGACAAGGAGCAAGAGGAAAAATGTTGTGCGAGCAATGGTGTATTGGGTTATCCTAGGATTTCTTTCGCGCTATTGTTTTACTTACTCCATTCCCTTTTAAACTGAGTAATTGCCAAAAAGCTATCGTTTGCTGGAGAATGCTCTAGTAAGGACATTCTAGTAGTTCTAGTAGTTGTAGCCACATTCTTAGATAGTTGTATAGTTCTGGAAGTTGTAGCCACATACATAGACAGTTGTAGCAGTTCTTGCAGTTCTCACCACACATTTGGATACGGCTGTAGCACTATTGCTCGCCATTTCGATGAGCTAGCGCAAACTGATGTCTCGATGGAGACCTCATGCATTAACCGACCACCTCACATTGCAAAGTAGACTCGTTTGAGCCGCAGTACCAAGTCTACAGAATAGCCTTGAAATTACTCCACCGGCTTGTCATATCCTTCAACCTATGAAGCAGCGTCCGTGGGAAAGAGAATCTAAAGATTACAACCGCCTTATGAGTGGCACCACCGACTTTGATCACCAGCCTCATTCTTTCTGGGAGGGAGGCATTTAATCTCTGCCCAATAAATGGTTGCATATTATTGACCATGATGGTGATCATATTGTTGATTGATTGACATCTTTCAATAAATAGCAATTAAGTTCAAAAAGTGTTGAAGTGAGAGAAGTCATAGGACAATCCAATTCAACTCACGGTACTAAAATCGAGCGTCTTACCGAAATTCACTATGACAGCAGGCGTCTTGAATGGAGCATTTCGAGCTATGATGCATTCAGTGTGGCGAATCTCTAACACAAATTTGATGTTCCCGACAAGACCAAAGTTCACAGGTTCACATTCAGTCAAGATCTCAATAAGAAGATAGCATAGAGATGTTTAAGGCTATGAACAAAATATCTTATAACTATTTGAGCCAACATGTCAAGTGGTTTGTTAATGGACTCTTCTACAGCCCGATGCGCGTGTTTCGGCCTTGCAGCCTCATCAGTCGGGTAGGCCCTTCGTCTTTAGCCAATCCTCTCGGGGCCCCTAGATTCCCCTATAAAGAGAAGGCGACACGAACGATTCACACAAGCAATGATTGATTCTCAGCTATTTCTCGGGCATCACTTCTAATCTAAAGAGAAAATCGGCTAACTCGAGTTGACAACAGTAGTATCCTCGATTTTCCACTGCTGTTCGTCAGCCTCACATAATTAATCTTTACTCATCAGCGAGCACGTAGAGCACCATTGTTAGAGACTCTAGCACAGCTTCTATCGTTTTTGTTAAAGCCCGCCGCTGAACTTTGATGAGCTGTGAGAGGGATAGAGATAAAGTGGGAGAGTAGCTGTGAATCCCCTTGAGCATCCTATTAACTAACTACTTAAGTGCTCAAAAATATAAACATCGACTGTTCAAAATGGGCGTCAGACTGAAGAGCCATAAGGGAATGTGTAATTACTTAATTACTTGATCGTTTCATCTCTTAGGTTTATATGCTACTTAGAACAGGAAGATTCTCATTATTATTGAGTAATACGTAAAATTTTCAACCTCAGGCGGGAGTTGAGCCTGCGTCACACTGTTATCCCTGCCATACCACTGTTAAAGAAGCAGCTGAATATTAGGTTATTTGAAGAATCTTGTTGATCACATGGATCTAAGAACTGTTAGCGCAAGAGTATTCAATGCCGAAAAGTGCTTACCAGGCCAAGCCGTTTACAGATGTTTGCTTACAGAATCGCTACCTTGTATCGTAGATGGTATTAAAACAGGAGCCACGTTAAAGCAGAGGTTTGTGCCTAACCCCGTTAAGGTAAGAGGCGAGTTCAACCGTTGCTCGAGGTTCAAGGTATCGCATATCAGTCCAGATTTTCAGATATATAGTTATAACATCGTATCAGTGTTGGAAAAGCGGTTAATTGAAGAATGTTTGCCGATTACAATCTGATTTTTTTTTAGCAAATTGGTATGTGCTATGTTCTTCAACGTCACCGTGGAATAAAACGGTTTGTAGAAGTTTTTGAAAGATCACAGCATGACCGATATATTCTCTAATTACTGTCACAACAGGCAAAGTGAACAAGGAGGAGGTAAGTGGATAATGAATGAATTACCTCAAGAGGAACATAATAAGTCGGCACTAGTAATTTATAACTATTGAGTTTACAGCTAGGTAATGAACAAAAATCAATGGAAGTGAACGGGAAGCTGCAAAAGGAAATAAGAATACAGTGTGAAAAATGGAGCTTGCGACGTTATATATTTGGATGCGCAACTGAAGAAAAAACAAAGTGATTTCTCTTTAGACTACTTCTGAAAAAATTCGCGCATCGTCACCTTCTTTCTATCTCTTCGGCATGAAGTTCAAGATTAAGCACTACAATATTGAGAATTGCCGAATTGTAATTTACACAGTTAGTTAAATATATGATCCATCATCATCTATTCGTTTTGGCCCAATTGAATTTGATGGCAATTTCGCTGAATGAGCAGGTTTTGCCTCTCTCAAGGGTCTCATAACGTGAAAATGCTTCGCGATCGTCATCATACGTTGCTGCGTTTCTGTGCGGGAGCGCGACGTTTTGTAATCGGATTTACCTTCCTGAATGCCACCGACTTATTTTTGAGTAGTCCTCTGGATGATCCATTCCAACCTGCATTCCCTCTCTCCCGAGGGAACAACACAATTTGTGATTACTGGACATTTATGCGCACCAACTTATCACGGTGAGGTAATAATATGGAAAAGAGACAGGGTAGTCATATGAGCCAGTTAAGCGCAGACTGCTATTAGAATGACATAAAACTTCATAGTCAGACGCTGTTTGTGATAAGATAGCCTATCAGCCGGAACTGTCACTAGGTTCAAGGCTTCCTTGAACAATCTCATACAATTTTCAGCTATCACAATAAATATGTTCCCATGATGGATGAGGAATTTCCAGTAGGTAAACTAAGATGTGAGAGGAAACATTATTATCAGTACATAAAGCTGTCGATTTTTCCCTAATCTGTCAAATTAATGTTCAATTGGCAATAGACTTACCTGAGTTTCGTTCACTTCTTTCAGTCCCTCACGTGATAACGCTTCATCGCCGCTATCCCATGACACAAGAAAGAATTACCTTCATTGGCGATGAATTCAACGGAGAAGATCGAAGACCTTTGTGGATGACGGATTTAAAGGAGCGAATCGGATGAATAAACACAAAAACTATCATTTTTCGCAAATTTGCCGTGGAAAGTCAAGATTTAATCGGCTTAATATCCTCGCCGAACCTCTGAGCTTCTAATCACGAGCAGCGAATCACTGAGGCGTACTACATTGTTCACAAAGGATGAATAGAAATGGAGGAATAAATAATCTGTGCTAAAGGATATCTACTACGAAAGTGCAGACTCGATGCGGTTGTGGGCGGAGAAAATCAGCTTGCGCCACCGATATGATGCTCGTGTTCTCCAATTCGTCATTGTCATATTGCCGAGATAAACTTATAAGGAAATGTCACCACTAAGTTATAAATAGACCAGAGCATTGAAATTTTTCCTGATATAGAACTAACAAAAAGAAAGCCAAGGGAACTTCTAAAAGTGTTCAAGAAGTAGTTTTAGTAGAAGAACTGTAATGTAATGACACAAAAAAGATTTGTGAGGGCCGTATATGCAAATTTTGTTCAGTTACTATAAATGAAAGAAGGCAGCAACAGAAAGGAAGTGAATGTGATGATATCAAGAAAGGTAGAGAGGTGTGATGGACCGGAAAGCACACGGAGACTACGGAAGAATGACGGTATCAGGAAGGAATCACGCAATAAAGCAATGAAAAGGCGAGGAAGTAAGAATAATAACATCTCATTAAGAAGCCTTAAAGGTTAATGAGGCTGCACGTCATAGTCCCCTGTGATGGGAGTCCTGATAATTGATGATTATAGTCGGGTGCCTGTATTGAAAACACATAATTAGTGTGCTAAACACAGTCAGAAATAGATTAACCATATCCTTATTATGTAATAATTTCATGGTGACGATAAAAGAAGAAAAAACATCTATATATGGAAAATTTTGCTAATCAACGCATTTCTTCGGTCTGTTGATTTTCTTCTTTACTTTCAAGTTTGATTTCTGCCCAGCATCATCTCCTAATCAACGAGTATGAATTCCGGCCAAAGCTCCATCGCTGAAATCCATTCCTTGGAAATGATATCCGAAGAACTGAAAGCGCCCTTGCAAGGTTACTTCAGTAAATCAAGAAATATCATATTCACGACCAGCAATGTAACATTTGGAATATGTGATTGGATCCGCACAACCAGTGAAGACGTATCATTTGAGTATCTAAGTAATGCAAAGGTGTGATTTCATTATCGACTGGATTCATTTTCGGGCTCGGTATCAATGGCGGAATTTTGAAGGTGAAGGATCCTTGTACACTGTCTTATCAAACTCTGGTAAAACTCAGATATATGCCTGATAAACGCCGAGAAAACACTGCATACAATAGTTTTTTCTACAAAGATCAAGATAAAATCGCGAAATTGACAATATCTCACTGTATAAAATATCGACTTCTTTTATTGATATAGTTTACAAGATTTATTTGAAAAATTCTTTATTCGCGTGACGATTCATCATCTTTTTCAGCCGATACTTCTAAACGATGGTCCATAGTCATTTGTCTTCGTTGTC